TTTCAGAGGCCATTCGGTTGGAAGGCCGTGTCTGAAATTGCACGTTGCACAAAAAACCGAAACGTTAGGTAGAAATCCTATTCAAACACGCCCCATAAGCGCTGAAACAATATAATTGAACGGACTAAGTATTGACGGAAACGTCACGAAGAAATTCCCATAGACCACGGCTTCAAAGCCCGGAAAACATTCCTAAATGTGATTTAACCGGCCGTGAAAGCCTTCATAGTCTGATTCTTCAGTATCTTCATCTTCCTTGCTCTAAAGCCTAGCCAATCTAATGCTTTCCACAGTCAGGAAGGGAATTTCTGCGACAAACATCTCAGAACGCTAAATTTTTAGGTACTTCCCATTGCCCAAAGAAAGGAAGAAGGATTCGTTTGACAGTTCCGAAGATGGATTCAGTTCGGAAGATGAGTTTTTCGGCCCTCGGAAGCAGATTGGCTTAAAACTAGTAGAACCATTGAGAGACAGGTAGGAGCATTTGATGTATAGTCTTTTAAACCCGAAACGTTTTTTTCTAATTTCATAGGGATTATAAGGATAAGGCCGAGCGAAGGCAGCGCGGTGGAAGACCATGTAAGCCTGGCGGTCCTACGGAGCGAAAAAGGCAAAGGATGCTAGACAAAATTAAGGAACCAAAAGAACGCAAAAGGGACAAGGATAAAATCAAAGGTAGTTCGTACCGTAATCAAATCGGCAACGGTTATTTCAACGAAGATTTATGATTTTGCAGCCAAAGAGGATGTTCCGAAGAGAGAGCAAACTAAGCGAGCTGTAAAAGGCAAAATGAGTTTAACGGACATTATCAAGGACGGAGATGAGCCAGAGGAGCCGCCAGAGTTCCAAGACTCTGAGGATTCTGATCCTGCTTGGACTCCGGCCGCCTCCGTGGACGATGAAGACATGCTTCCAATGAAGAAAAAGAGTAGAGGCCGACCAGGTAAAGTGAAAAAGTTTGATTTGCTTTACATTTCACCGTTTATCGGATTTTAGGTGGTACTAAGAACAAAAAGCCTCGAAACTTGATCGCTGCGGCTGCTCAAGGCGCGGGAATTAACGATTCTGATGGTTTGGGTGTTTACCCAGAACATCCGATGCCCAAAAAAACAAAAACTAGCCATAAGGCCAAGCCGGTTCCTACATTGGAGGATAATATTGTCGCTTCCATGCAAAATAGTTTTTCGGCTGTTAACGATGACAATCCATTTAAGGTAGGAGTTTAACTTAATTTAAAACCTTGCCTTAAGAGTGCGCAACGAATTTTTCAGACTGGTGAATTTGTCGCAATACGAGGCGAAGTGTGCAACGATTGGCCGGCTATTTGGCGAGTTGATGGCAAGACGCTTTTGCAGAAATACGAACCGTTCGAGCACGAAGGTACCACACTCTATAGGAATATTTCGACGGTAAGCTGTTCACAGTAGTTTGTATATTAATGAAAAATGAAAATGAAATTTATTTTGTTCTTATTGCAGTATACTTCATGGACAGCGGAGAGTAAGAAACAATACATTTCAGTGCCGGTGAAATACAAGTCGCAAAGTCAATTAGAGACAGTAGTCGAATTTTTAAAGGACGAAATGACAATTCTTGATCCTAAAATACAGGAACAGTGTATGAAACAGTGCGAGAGTTATCAGGACAATTTCGAAGTGTACATTCAGACTCTTATATCGCAAGCCTTAGACAGCAACTTTCTGATGGAGATCTTCCAAGAGAAGGGTAAGTTGTCCATTCTGCCAGTACTAGTTCAGAGAAGTAAGCAAGCATTGTATGCGGTGTTTCAGACGAATACTTCTTGTCCAACGTTCAGACTATTGACGATATCACAGAACGAAAGAAGCAAAAATTGCTTCAGTTGGTGCAGTGGCCGGCCAGTCTTCAAGGGGCGGTTTGTACGTGGCCTTGTTTCAATGTTCTTCGCGAAATCGGACCAGGCGACGCTCAAACCAGAACGTGCGCTGCCTGCGGACGGCATAACGTCGCTGTTAGAGTGATTATGTATGGACAGCCATATAACGCTACCACTTTAGAGGGCTGTCAGCCCGATCCGAATGCCATAAATGACAAGGTAAGCTATAGATTTACTTGTTTGGTAAGCGGCCTCGATGCTGACGGTTCAGAAGCTCAAGTTTCTTTCCGCTGTGCAAATCGATTTAGTTGAGATTGATTGTTTGTTGCAGGACTTTTTCATGTGTAGAATATGTGTGAACAGAGTAGAACTGGCGAGTAAAGTAATTCATCAGAAATACCTAATGTACATAGAGTGCGCGAAGCGTGTGAGTGAGAAAAGAACGTCAGACCCAACAAAAGATACCACTTGTATATTAAATGAATTGCTGGCGGATGAAAATTGGCTTAATCAGGTAAAGTATTTCACGTGAATAATTTACGCATGACATTTTCTGTACGTATTTACTATAACTATAACAAGACGCGGAAAACGGTTATGTATACAGGGTTATTCACGCTATACGGCACGGAAGTTTGCGGCCAAACCGTTTGATTTTTTAAAATATTTTCGTAATGTACAGAGTGTCCCAAAAGCTCTAAAGGTATCAAAGTTGCGTTTTTTTTTTAATAGAATGTCCTGTATATTATTGCATTTTTGGATTCGCTGAACAAAATAAGTGTCTGTTTTAATAAGGTTTATAACACCTAAATCTTAGGTTTTTTTAAATAATACAAATTTAATCAAAATCTTATCTAATTTTCACGTGTCAAATACTTTAGAAGTATTTAAGTTATGTAAGCGTAATTTATAGTGAAGTGTAACAAGATA